CTCCCACACACCACACACAACCCACTCGCGCTCACACTCACACCCATGTTGGTCATAGACCCCGCTAATACCGATCAGGGGTATCCAAAGGACTATCACAGTCCGTTGGCGCTAAGTGCGCCGCCGGCGGCCATGGGGCTTGAACCCACAACCTCCTGAATGCCACTTGCATGCCTAACCAACTGACCTAGGCCGCTGGATCCCCGACCTCCTTTTACCTGGTTATAATGATTTTTTTGAAGAAAAAAAAAAGGAAAAAAAAGAAAAAGAAAAAGAAAATAGAAATCCGCAGTTTTTGCCAGACTCCTTTCGAAAAAGATGCTACGGACGGAATGCCAAGGCGCCTTCTTTCGAGGGTCTTTTTCGATTTTTTGTTGAAAATGCGTTGTGGGATCCAAGCCTCACGTCCGCTCCTCTGTGTTCACGCGGGGCCACACGATACGCAGAAGAAAAAGGGCCCTGCTCTTCAGGCCCTTTGCAATTCTGGTCGCCTGACCTGCCCTGCCCTGGCCTGGGGCTAGGTCCCACTTGCACGAGGCACTGACCGTAGATAGCAAAGGTAACGGCCGAAATCTCCTAATTTCAGCAATTGGGACCTTGCCCCTGGTCTTCGCTGCCGACGGACTGCGCTCCCGTGCTGTTTGTACAGTGGAGAGTAGCGGAGCGAGACGCTGTGTCTCAGTCCTTCGGCACATCTGTTAAAATTGGAACGATACACACAGAGAGAAGATCAGCATGGCCCCTGCGCAAGCAAAGCATGACACGCATAAATCGAGACCCTGTGTCTCAAAGATCTCGAGCCCGATACACAATCCAGCAAAGATTGCTAAGAGTCATTTTGCGAAATTGCGTGGGATGGTGGACCCGTTTTTTCAAGCAGCTGCTGCTGCTCCCCAGCAGATTGGAGGCATTCTGTCTGGACGGATGCTCGTATCATCTCCCAGCATAGGACGCTGACCGACCCTTTTGTTAGGGGGGAAAAAGAAGCTCTGACCCTGTCCAAACAGGGTGCAAACTACCCACGCCCGCCCCGCCCCCCCCGCCCCCCCCGCTCTGTCTGGACGGATGCTCGTATCATCTCCCAGCATAGGACGCTGACCGACCCTTTTGTTAGGGGGGAAAAAGAAGCTCTGACCCTGTCCAAACAGGGTGCAAACTACCCACGCCCGCCCCGCCCCCCCCGCCCCCCCCGCGGCCCCCGCGGCCCCCGCGGCCCCCGCGCCCCCCGCGGCCCCCCTTACCTTCCTCTGGAGTCGAGTACCCCACATGTCCTCTCTCAGTCTCTTGCGACGGACGGTACGATGACCATCGAGCGGGAAGAACGATGTCGGCAAGCGTAGAATTGGAATTGGATGAATAAATCGTGTAGTTGACGCTGCCAGGTCAGATCAAATCCAGGTCGGCTACGTTCCAAGACCACGTGGCCGAATTTGTGCCACGTGGCCGAATTGGTGCCACGTGGCGTCAACGGAATCGGGACTCGGAATTAGTGTCTAGATTGACGGCGGAGCGGATGATGGAGGATAAGTTGGAAGTCTCAGCGGAAGAGTTCTTCCAGAGCTCACCCCCTCTTCGCAATGAACAGGCAGTTCGAGAAGCTTTAGATGCATTCATAGCGCGCCACGTCAGCCGGCAACGGCAAGGTGCGTCCTCCTGGTTCTTGTCGTGTTTGCAGGTCCACGCTAGAGAAGAAGTGCGTTTATGGTGGGCATCATCCCCACACCATTCTCGAAATGTGCAAAACGAAAGTGAATTTTCTGCTAGAACATGGAAAGATACGCCGCAAAGATTTTTGTCGTTTGTGCATGTCGGAGAGTAGAGGGGGGAGGCCCTTTATGTGGTGCTGCTTTCACTCCGGCTGTCTTGCTTCCCCTCCTGTCGTCGTCGTGCTGTATGGAATCTTCTTCTTCTTCTTCTTCTTCTTTTTTTTTTCTTTTTTTTTTAATACAGAACCTGCCAATTTTGTCATGTTCAGAAGCAAGTGTTGGCCGTTGCTTTTCCGTTCTTCCTTAAATTTACCTCCACAAAATAGATGCATGGGATATTGTTCAGTTTGTGGGAATGAACAGTATGTGTTCTGCTATCTCCTCAGGCATCAGTAGGATTTCGTGGTCTCTCTGTGTTATATAGAACAGAGAATACTCTCGGTTCTTCCTCCTGTCTCCCATATGCACGGACACGGGTTCAACCTCTTGATGAGTCGGTGAAAGTCCCTCTACGAAACTGTCTGGCACAGTCATACTTTTTCGATAGACTTGTGTATAGCAAACATGACATCTCTCTCTCTCTCTCTCTCTCTCTCTCCCTCTCTCTCCTTTCTTTGATTTGATTTGTCGGTGAAAGTTCGATGAAAGAGTCTGGCACAGTCTTGCTTTATTTTTTTTGTCAACGTATATGTGTTGCGTACGTGACACAACACACGGTGTCTATATGGGTCATCCCATTAGCCCGAACTTGCTCAACGGAGCAGAGAGGCTGGATTGGAGCTATCCGGAGAGAGGAGAGATCCAGATGCAGTGAGCAGGCAGGGGATGGCTATTGCTTGCTATCGGGAACAAATAAATTCATTTACGAAGAAGAAGAAGAAGAAGAAGAAGAAGAAGAAGAAGGGAGGTAGTGAAGAAAGGAGATCTGTGTTTGCTTTTCTGTTCTTGAATTCGACATTCTGGACACGCTTATCAGCCTACCGTCTTCCCCCCCCCCGAACATAACGCACCCTGAAAATGAACGTATACAAGGTATGTTTCCGGCCCGATACAGGCAAAATGGGGGAGCGTTGTGTTCCGGGGAAGACCGTAGTAATTCTCCACCATTCCGATCCGAGCAACTCATCTTTCCGTCGTTGCAAATTCTTTTTTTCTCTTGTCTACTTGACAATGTCCTCTTCTTAGTCCGTTGTGGATTTTCCTCCTCCTCCTCCTCCTCCTCCTCCTCCTCTCGCTCTCTCTGCTCCTCGCATTCGAGACTCTGTGTGGCATACTGCGTAGCCACACGGGCCCTGTAGGACCCGTCCCGGACATTCAGCCTAAAAGCCTAAAACTTAGGATCTACAGGCCCCAGTCGTTTCGGCCTGAAAACTGAAAAACGAGGGCCTGCAGGCCCTACTCCGTTTCAGCCTATTTCTGGGTCTTTCAGACCCAGAGTTTTTCCAGCCTGAAACGGAGGGCTATTCTTAGGCCCTGGGCTATTTTTAAGCCCTCATTTGTTTCGACCTGCCCTACGATTCAGGCACGAAAACTGGGTTTCGGAACAGGCTATTTCTGGCCTGTTCCCACGCCAGCTCAAGCAGGAGCTGCAGCTGCAGCCCCTGCCTCCCTGCGGCATTATTGGCAAGAGCACGAGCAGGAGCTGCAGCTGCAGCCCCTGCCTCCCTTCGGCATTATTGGCAAGAGCACGAGCAGGAGCTGCAGCTG